CGAGCTCCGGGCAGGCGGGCGGCGGCGGGAAGGGCGGCGAGGGGGGCGCGCTGCGCGGGGCGCAGGCCGGAGGGGCGTGCCGCGCGCTGGCCTCCTGCTCCAGGCGGATTTGGTGCTGCAGCTGCTGGAGTTTCAGAGGGTCCCTGGGGAGACAGAGAAGCGCGACACGTTCAGAGAGGGACTCAGCAGGAACGTGCATCTGGGGCAGCGAGGTTAAGCTGGGAACACAGCCTCCCGCGTCTGCCGGCTCCGCACGAGGCCCAAGCTACCGGCCTGCAGGTGTCGCCTGCAGCGGATTCTGGGCAAAACCCTGAGGCAGTTCAGTGTGGTCGGGCAGCTCCAAGTCTCGCTTAAGTTTTACCTAAGATGATTCAAACCAGTTTACAAAAAGTGATGGAAATTTTGTCCGACTTCCAGGAGCCATACTTCATGTTCACAGAACCAGAAGTATTAAAAGAAAAACTATTGACATAAGTCTCAGTCCTCTCATTTGTTGCCAGTGTTTGGAAAAAGAATTCTATCAGAATAAGAAAGTTTAAAACAAAAACACAAAAAAAAACAAAACAAAAACTTGATGTAAGTTATTTTTGGCAGATTTAGGTTAGTCCAGTTTTGGCTACTTCAAGGCTGTCAACTCTGCCTTCAATAAATACCACAGGCTGATTTTGGGGGGGGGGGGGGGGAAGAGCTGCTTTAATTTCTGCATGCGTTCCCTAAAAAAAAAAAATACAAAATATACTATACCAGAAATTTTAGTAATAAACCCTGAAATGCCAATTATTTATACAAACCTTAATAAATACTGATACTGATATTTGTGTCATATCTAAAACACATGCAAATGACATCTACCTTTAACATGTAGGTGTTTAATAAACAATAACAAATTATTAATACTATAATAATGTAGTTTTAATTCCCCAAGTTTTTCGATCGAGAAGAGACTGAATTTTAATTTTTTGAAAAAGAAGTGTAAGCGGATAGCAATTAGCTAAAATCTTACTGTACTTGACTCATAAGCTTTCCTGCTTAACTGAATTTTACATCCAAGATGTTTTCCTTTATTTCAGGCAGGAGGTGGCACTACAACAAGCAGATAAAACAGGACTATAATTCCATGAATAGGCAACACTATGCTCTTACCTTCAAATCTTTTAAAACTAAAAACAACCCCAAATCTTCCTTATCCATAGGCATTTAATCTTCAAAATCAAGCTTTCATAAATCAAAAGCAATAAAAGGAATTGCAGCTGCTGATAGAAGAAAACAAAATTTAGATCTGTTATCAAGTATCATTAGCTGTGAGAACATCAGCAATGAAGTTCCAAATTTTTTCCTGTCTTCTATTTGCTTCTGTAATCATCCAGTAAAATGATTACACTTAAATCCATGAAAAGACAGCAAGAAACACCTTTTGGGGGGAACTGAAATGTATAAAGATGCTTCTGTATGCTTAACCTGTGCACAGCATCAAAGATTCCAACACCACAGAACTCTGTGGGGTCCTGTGGAACTTACTTTGAGCATTTTATTTTAAAAGCAGCCATGCCACTGGTGGGATTCACCAGGTCGTGGAAGTTCCAGATGTCTGTGTGGTTTGGGCAGACTGTACAGCACACGTGCTCCTGAGCTCATGTATTTAGAACTAGCCTAGGAATAGAACTCGTAAAAACCACCCACCAGCTCTAAAACCCATCATCCAGCACGCACATTCTGAATCCCCACACGCTCCTTTCTGATCTCCCTGCCTTTACCATCTCCTACTTATTTCCGAACTATGGCAAAATACATCCTATTCCAGGAGTATTTGTCATCAACATTCAACTGACCTGTGCACTTGGATTACAAGTGATCTGTATGGCCATCCTCAAAGGCAACGTGCCCCTATGCTGGGCCCAGCTCACAAAGGCTGTGCTTTAAGGCATTTTAAGCTTGGCCTGGCATCAGCAAATAGCTGTGTAATGGCTCTGGTGAGGCTGCTGCAAACATCATATCATGCCCTGTATGTGGTGCGAGGATTCCTCTGCCCAGGGTTAGGGAGCGGTTCCTGAGAAGCCCGTCTTCAAAGAAGCCAGGGCAGGAAAGCGCCAACCACCACTGTACTGGTTCTAACGCTCTGCCTGGGGTCAAGCCTACCATTTGGGCATTAAAAAGAACCACCAAGTTTGCTAAATAACCTAAGTGAGCTCAAAGCTGCTGAGATGGTGCATTTAATACTAAGTTGACAGTTCAAGAAATTATGAACATAGCATTTCAGGAGAAATGAACACGCATTTTCGTGTTTTGGTTACTACTATATATACTGCCATGAAGAGCTTTGCTAGGGTTTCCCTCTCCCCTGTTTTGTGTTGGGTGAGAAATACAACATGCAGGGAATTGGAGGGGTGGGGGAGGAAGAGCAAAGCAGGTATTTTGAATCATCAAGTGTCCGACTTGATTTCTGTGCAAATCATCATTTAAAAAATACTTGCGCTAAATGGATCTGACACCTGGATTCTGAGATGATGCGATGCACAGTTCCAAGTTGTCTTCTCAGTCCTCATTAAGCTTTGTGTTTTGTTTTTGTTTTTTTAATTAAAGTTGATTTTCACCAAGATAAAAAGGCAAAGGGACTGAAAGGTACCAGAAAGGCAAGACGGCTTGGAGCCTTTGGAAATCACTTAGAAGTTATTATAAAAATTCTTCACTTTTCTGGTTTCCCCATTTTTCCTGCTGCTCTTCCTGTGAAAATGAAATAAAATGAAACTGAACTGAACCTGTTGGAAGTACTGTGTAAAGGCTGAAAAGCTGGGTTGAGAGTTCTAAACAGCCCTAGTCACAAGTGTAACACTTTGAGAGTCGGGTTGTTCAGGGCTTCAGTTTTGCACAGCTCCTCCGTCACACCCCTCCCAGCTTCCTTTCTTTCCCTCTCTCTACCACACCCCCAATTCAAAACAACTAAGCAAGTCCCTATTCTTACCCCTCCTTCAATTCTAAAGGTTTCAATACTTAAGGAAATGAGACCTCTAGATTTTTTATTATGCACTTGTCACAGTACTTGTCACAGTCCATTTACAAATGGCAAAGGCGTGTTAAGTACCTCGCTCTAGATCACCGAGCAAGTTACCTGCGGAGTCAGGTTAGACCTGTGTCTGTCCCTGGCTCCTTTGGCTACACCAGGCACGTCAACATAAAAGAACCCTTATCAAGTACTAGACTTGAGGTGCGGGTCGCTTTGTAAGTTATGTAAATGTCTAACCACTAAGCAGTACCCTCGAAACTAATATAATGTTGAATGTCAAATGCAATTGAATTTTTTTTAAATTTTAAAAGGAAATTAAAAAAAACATTGGCCTTTCAATATATTAAAAAAAAAAATCTGTGGTCATCTTTCCCTCCTAAGCATTTAACTCTTAACACCTCCTCGTAGCCCCAGCATCCAAGGCCTTCAGAGTCTGAATCATCAGTCAAGGTTTTCTTAAATATTTACATATTCAAGAATATACTCAAGAAAATCTGACTTCCAACTTGATTCTTTTTAGGGTGAAATGATGCAAAGATGAGACGATTGTGGCAGCTCAGAAAGGGGATATGTAAATACCAACTCAATGGATTGCCCTCCTACATTACAGAAACCCAACAGCCTCCTAACCTACCCCAATGGTGTGGGCACAGCTTTTAACAAGAAATTTTACAGATTGTCAGATGGGGCAAAGATTCAGATGTGACAGATGTCGAACCCAATTTACTTTCTAATTCAGTAATCTCTCCTGCCACTAGATTAAAGCAGAAAGACACCAGGTGAGGAGCATACAGGGGGAAAAGGCTACACCCACCATTGGGCAGCACTGGCTTGGAACGCAACTCCACTGGCTACTAACTCTGGGATCACCGTGAGGGTGAAATAAGCACACTGCCTGGTGCATCATAGGAGCTCCATAAATGTTCCACAGCAGAAAACAACTCCATCGATCCTGGTTACTTTACCAAATGGGCCTTTGAAAAATGGAGATGATGTTCTACTTACTACAGGGGATTTTCCTCCTCCTCTGTTCCCCTGCTGGTAGCTGGCAAGGGGAACAGCAGTGGCATGTGGAGACATGGGAAACAGGAGATCAAGGATGAGCTGCCAGACCAGCTAAGATAGCTGGGCTCCGCAGCTGCCCCTCACCCTAGCAGGGGTTGAAGATGAGGGATAATACTTATCATGCACCTGGCACTGGACTGACTCATTTACAACAACCCTGGGGGGTTAGTGTTATTATCCCCATTTTTTAAATTCCCCATAGGTTAGTGAGGTCAAGCAACCTGTCTTAGGGCAGAGCCTGGGGGTAGGTGAAGGGTAGGCTGGCTCCAAAGCTTGGCGTACCATTCTCTCCTAAGTGCTCAGAAAAACAAAAAAGGTTAATTAAAATGTTAGTCATTGTTACTGAGTATCACTTTTTCTCTGGGGAACTGCAGCCCAAGCTCAAAATAAAGGATGTGAAAGTAAACTTCTGGAAAACAACTTTTATGTCAATTGGAAATCCCCAGTATATCTCTGGAGCAATGTCTGGATTGCAAGAAGGAATTTGTCCCCTGTTCATTCTAATAAAGATGGAGTATTTATAATTGTCTGCAGAAACCCTTGGGATCATGAAGCTAGAGAACATTTGTGCTTTCAGAATAAATGTGCTGTCGGTTTATATATTTTCTTCCATTGTTTTCACTGTGTGATACAGAAGCCATTGACTGGGTGATGAAGAGTTGCAATACTGCGCCCTCTGAACCGTGGGCCCTTTGGTCCTGCTATTTATAAGCACTTTGAAGGCAGGGACTGTGACTTTCAGTGTCCTCATGGCACTGACCTAGCACCGTCACAACACCCCATCCAACACTAAAATGTGTCAAGACACATCACTGTCCGTGTCCCCAACAGTGTTGATTTCTGGCTGCAATTTCCATACCCGACTGGGTTCATCAGGCACAGTCAGCAGATCAGTCCTACAATAGACGCCCCATATGGACTGGGGAATTCTAAGAATTTTCAAATGAAGGTGGCTAAGTAAATCAGGGGATAAAGTGCTGGGTGTTCCCATAACACATATTCCTCTCCGGCTGGGATTAGCTCAGGATGACATGTATGAGAGAGCTCAGTGCATTAATTCTAGGAACTTATAGAACA